GAACAGAATGTAAAATTAAAACACTATCTCCGTTGGAAACCTAGTAATTAGAATGTGATTTTAGATATAAATTTCCAGTAGCTTTCGAGGTGAGGGCAATCACCAACAGTAGATACATACATCACATTTTGATGATAATTGAGCCACATGGGTAAGTAACTAAAAGGACATTGTCTCACTATAATTGGGCTTAGATGTATAACTTATTTGGAGTGACTTCGGATATTTATCTTTCAAGAAAGTATGGAGCTAGAAGAAGCCACCAGAAGCACAAGGGACTGGAAATGAAACCACTGTTATTCAAGAAATGGGTAGCGGTTTCTTCTTAACAGACAATGGGCTAAATACAGAATTTTTTCAAGTTCAAGAACTGGGTAACAAGTAGGCGGAGGAACACATCCCTCTTGCCTCTTGCTTTCTGACCTCCCTCCCTAGCAGTGCTGACTGCTGTCAGAGAAGAAAGCCTTCCTCAGATGAGTGGGACCATTATGTAACCTTGCCTGTTTCTGCAAGCTGCTGGCTCGCTCCTGGAAAAAGCAAACTCCATAAATAGCAGACACTCAGCAGTTATAGCATAGACCAGGGGGAGTAACCCCATAAGAGCAAATAAACATACAACACCCCACCTTGGAGAGTCTAGGCAAATACATCAAATGCATTTGCCTTTGGGTAAATAAAGATCCACTGACTGTCCAACCCAATCTCAGTGGTAAGTTCCACCCTGGGGTGATATTTTACTGCTATTGCCCTTGGAGTCAGTAAATATTTGTGTGGAAAATATTACGCAACACCCTGTTCCTGTTATTCCTACACCACTGGTTTCTAGAACCTAAAACATTTTTGTAAACTTACCTTTACTTTGGCACCGACCCTTTGTCTCTGCTGGGCTTTTTCCAACATAACTCTCAACGCTCGAAAAGTTTATTAAATTTGCAATTTTGAAGCGAGGAAGAGTGTTTCCCTTCACATAAAAACAGACTCTTAATTTTGCAAAGAGGCCAAGACATATCGTGTGCTCTATTATTCCTAGCTTGGAAGCTCTGTGGGCAAGACGTGGCTGGAGAAGATAACGTGCAATCATTGTTGCTGAGGCACAGCAAAGAGGGGACAGAGGCTCTGCTGCACACAGGGCACACCAGCGTGCGTCCCTCAGCAGCCTTAAGAAACAAGGTCCGGACTTGTTCCTAAATCCTGCTCTGGCTCAGCAAGCAAAGAAAGAGCAGTACCGCAGACTGAGCTCAACCCTGCCGTGACCTCCTGGGCAGGTCAAGGGAAGGCTGTTGTTCTTAGAACTAAAATGAGCCCTGAGCATTTCCAACTACTCATGAGTAGACCCAAGGGTCTAGGCATAGTTCTGAAGATGTGAGTGAAAAACGCAACCTGAAAGCGCCCTCTACAGTGAAAGGCTGGCACCGAAAGGACCTTGGGGGTCACAATGTGCAGCATCTCCCATCGTTACTCAGATGGAGAAGCTCAGCCCGGAGGGCTAGGCACCTTCTGAAACTGCCGGAGGGGGTCGAGCGGGGGTGCCGCCCCTGACCCACCCCCGGTCCTCTCTCCACTCCTAAGAGCTCCCCTCTAACAAGGGTCTCAGATGAGGGTCCCACCTCTCATTCTATTGGACTTCATTGTACCAGTGAGAAGCGATCACTTCCCCGGGGAGAGAATAAACTTGTTTCATGGTAGAAAAGGGCTCCAGACAGTGGGCCTGGCACGTGCAAAGGTCTGAAGGCATGAACAAACATGAGCGTGGGTCATGGTGAAAATTCACCATGGCTGCTGAGGAAGTTCCTCTGCATGTGTGTGCATGTGCGTGTGTGTGCACACGCCCGCAGTGAGGGTGGTAGTGACGGGAGACAGGGTTCAAACCTAAAACCAGGGTCACAAAGGACTTTATAGGCTGTAGCGGATTGGATTGCTTCCCCCTAAAAGTTGTCGAAGCTTTGAGTCCTAGTACCTGTAAATGTGACCTTATTTGGAAAGAGGGTCTTTGCCAATGATCAACTTAGATGATGTCATTAGAACGGGCCCCGATCCAATATGAGGGCTGTCCCAATAAAAAGGGGACATTTGGACAAAGAGACAAACAGGAGGAAGACAACACGGAAACACAGGCAGAACAGCATCTGTGAGCCAAGGAACGCCGGCGGCTACCAAGAGCCAGGAGAGAGACCTGGACCAGGTTCTCCCTCCCAGCCTCAGCAGGAGTCGACCCTGCCAGCACTTGATCTCAGACTCCCCAGCCTCCAGGACTGAGACAATACGTTCCTGCTGATTAAGCCCCCTAGTCCGAGGTAGTCCCAGGAGACTCCTCCATACGCCAAAGTAAAGAGTGTGGAGTTTTAATCCCCAGGTGAGGAAAGGTGCTGAAGGGTTTCACCTGGGGGCTTGACACGGTCACCACGACTTAGAAAGATCTTTCAAGGTCATACATGGGCCTGTGGACCAGAGCAGGAAACACGAGAGGCAGGAGTTTATGCAGAAACTGCTGAAACAGATCACGCAAAACACAGCTGAATGAGGGCAGGGGCAGTGAGGAATGGACAGGACAAGTTTATGAGATGTTAGGGGATAAATCAGCATGAATCATGTCCGTGTCACCAGAGGAGAAATGAAACCAGAAAAGGCCACTTAACGTGAAGCCACTTTAAGAAGGACCTCAAATTTTAGGATAAATAGAATAGATAGAGAGAAATGTTTGATTTGGATTTAGTCTTTAAAAATCACACTAATACGTAAGGAATCGACTTTTTACCTAACACTGAACCAAATGTAGGTGGCGACTGCAGTTGCGCAGACTCATTTGTAGAATGAAGACAGAATGGATTGTTCTGTATATTCATTTTTTCCCCCTAAAAAACTTGTACGAGGACCCACTAGGGCTGTCTTCACTTTCAGAGCAAGATCAGGAACCGGGTTGTTTTTACAACCAGTTTTTACAACAGTGGCGTCAGCCCCGCCCCCGACCCCTGTGCTGTGCAAACCCCTCCTGTTTCCATTTTCTGTTTAATTGTCCACCTGTCCACTTGTCCCCATGGCCTCACCTGCCAATGACTGGGCCTAGAAAGAAAAGACACAACTGGGTGAAGACTAACCTTATGTTGATACGGAATGAGACTTGAAACCAGAAATAAAGCACACTCCAAATCTGGGGGGTAATATTTTCTTCTTTTTACCCTTCTCTGTTTATGGCTGTGGAGCCGTGTGCTTCGCCAAACTGCACTCACCATTTAAACCTGGTATAAATTCCAAATCACTTCGTTTATAGTCCTCTTTCCAGAAAGACGGCTGGTGCAGAGAAAGGGGAGCTTGCGCCTGATTCCAACCTCAGGGGAAAACATGTCGGGAGAGTAAAGTACGCTTCTTCCCCTCACTGTTTCCCCTTGTCCCTTACTCCAGGTCAGACAGACAGCCGTCCGCTTCCACCTACAGAGCCTCAGGGGAGGGATGTGTCAGGGAAGGAAAAAAGAAACCCTGGCTTTTCCAAGACTGTCTGAGTCACTGGTTCCAATGGCTGAGAACCCTGGACAGGTGATTTGGGTGTTGAGGGTTTATACAAATAGCGTAAGTGCCATAGAAGTGGATGTGCGCTCAGAACAGCACATCCACTTGATGTGCTCGATGCCCTTGGAAAGCTCAGAACACACTTTGCGAAGTGGGCACCCTGAGCAGGAGTTAGAACAGACCTTCCCCAAACCCCTCCTGTACGTCTCTTCCGCAATCTTGGATGGTTCTACAACGCGGCAAGCCCAGGGTGGGCAGGGGTGGGGGAGAGCGGGGAAGCAGATTTCCCTGTGCTGTTTCTGGGCCTAGGTCCTAACTGCTTCCCAGCGGAGCACAGCAGAGCACAACAAGATGGCTGGAACACAAGTCAGGAAGTCCCTGGCATCTCCTCGGCCTACGACGGAAGTCAGAAATACGGTAATGGGTACGAAACACTGTGCCTGGCTCTTCGCAGGGGTGTCCTCACCGAAGATGAAGCGCACACAGGGGCAGGCCCTCCTCCTGAGAGCGTGCAGGTCGGAGACGCAGATTCAGAAGGAAAGGGCCCACCTGTAGGATGGGGAGGGCTGGATTCCTAGGGTGCACTGGCTTATTCCGTCCCTACCCCATCACCCTCAGACCATCAAGGCAGGAGTTTTTACATCACAGCCAACACATTTCATGGGATCAATATGAGAAGGGTCAAGAGAATTCCAGAATCAGACTTATTTCCTGAATAGACATAAAATACACCTGTCCTTACGCCAGCCAGTATGGCCGGAGGAACACAATGACCTTCTTCAGTCACTTAGGGTCCTAGACGTAGCAAACTTGACTTTGGGGGCTAAAGGTGCCTCAATAGATGGGCGACACGTACCAAGAGGTGGTTCAGAGAATCTGGCAAAGAGGGAGGGGAGCTGCCTGGGAATACGATATTACTCTTATCCCTATTTTATTGTCTAAAATATAGATATTTTGGGCAACTGATTCTTATCATGGAAGCATGACCAAGACAACAAAGGGTTGGGAGAGAAGAAGGAAAAAACTGGGGGTTGGATCCTGGAAGTTCTTGTGCGAGAAACTAATGCTGCTGAGTCAAAATCCACGGCAGCCAGCAACACCCGGGGAGAGCGCAACATGAGGAAAATCTACCCTCCCTTCCAAGAAACCTCCCCGGGATCTTCTACGGACTTAAGCAAGGAAGAAGATTAACTTTCAGGGTCAACCTTTCAGACCAAGGAAACCAAAAATAAGACAACCTCACCTATTCTTTGGGGCTTACAAGATCACACCCCACAACCTACGATCTAAGGCAAGTCAGTGGGAAGGATAATAACCAACATGGGGTGAATTCCAGGTAACGAGTAGGAGATCACTCAGTCATTCAACAAATACAGAACGTAGGCTAGGTGACCTACCTCGGGTGCACCTACAAGCCTCTGTGCACACGTGGGGGTCTCTGCAGGAGAGGGTGTTCCCTTTGGTGCAGTGTCCCAGGAGCGCAGGGCAGCACGTACCTGGGCGGGCAGGGTTCCGGGTTGCAAGCCTGGCTCATCGGAGGAGGGCGGTGGACCATATCACACAAGGTGTCACTGACTGTCTGCTGGGTCTGGGTGTGTAAGCACACGGCTATCGCTTCTTGATGGCCTGGAGGTTGGGAAGAGGAAAACAAATGCAAGTGACTTAGAGTAACTCACTGTGGGGGGGAAAACAGGGTCTTGGGACTTCTTTAGCCATTGCCTTTTGAGTATATCGCTTGGCTGTGGGCTGCATTTCAGGGTGCGCGTGCAGACTGGGCATCTTTCAAAGGCTTCCAGTCTTTAATATTCTCTCAGTCACCTTTTCAACTCAGCACCACTACCCTCTCCGCCCAAATATACTCACCTTGAAACATGAAAGGACATCCCGACTCCCCGTCTACCTGCAGACTTACCTGTGTTCCCAATCCAAGTCCCCCCAACCGAACCACCCAAGTGTTCTCCAAACCACACACTAGTAGTTCCCGGAGAGGGATTTTCACGTCAGCCGCGAAAGAGTGACATTTTTTCTATGTCACTGCATATGTGCTAACTTTGATGTACAATCCTTACTCCAGCGTTCATTATGGTCTGAACTCCTGTTCGCTATTACTATACTTCGTGATATTGCCATTGCCGGCAGAAACAACAGCAATACCTCCCATCGGGAAAGCGCTCTGGCGTGTACGAAGTGCTTTCGCGGGCACCGTTTGGGCCCACGGGAATCGGGAGGTCCAAAGAATGGTATCATTATCTCCATCTCATTAATTTAATAATAAGGAAAACTGAAGCCTAGAGAGAAATTAAGGCAGC